CTTCATAATTCTTTCGTTGTAAGGTGAAATATCTCGAAATATGAATAAATAGTTTAGACGTCAAGTTGAATGTTTTGATTACTAATTTTGGTTCGTACTTCATTTACAAAATATATAAAGAGAAACTGAATCATTAACAAGACTTCGGTATGAATAAGACAATAAATAAGAAGAACGTTCATAAATGTTAAATGTGCGTCATATTGCTGTATTTTCTAATCTTGCTTATTTTTACTATACTGGTAAACAAAACTGTACATTTATGAGTCGTTACACTTTAATAGAAACTGACGCACGAGTTTTGTATTTGAAGAGCGTAAACTGCTATTTTAACCGGTGAAGCTACAAATGATACACTATAGAATATTTATATTTGTATTTTATACAAAGATACTCAAGAAAAATATCATTGAAGTAGCTTTTAACCTATATCTTATATTTAACAAACATTTTTGTTTGCCTTTACATAAAATTTGCTGACAATATAGAACTTATTTCATAATTTAATTCCTTTACGAAGCTACACGTTCGAACAAAACATATTACGAATGGAGACTTGCACACCTGGTTCTATCAGTTCTTAAACTCCCCTGAGTCATAGGAATTGGTATGGCAAATGCAGTACTATTATTACTAATTAGTTCATTTTAATGCATACAGCTACACTTTTTTTGTTTTGCTTTTTCAGAGTACCTCCTCGAAGCCCTTTAATATTTGCTGAACCTTTATGGTTTGCCAAACTCCTTTTTTGTTTTTTAAGGAGGTTTTGATATGGTCTTGTTATATGGAATCTATACAAATCTTTATCACGTATAAGTTCATAATGTTGAACCTATCACGTATAGGATGTAGCTTCTTAACTGCCTGCACTAAATTAGCGAAAGTTAATGCTTGTCAAACGTGTGAAAAATAAATAACACCTATGAATGAGTTTTTGCATATTAAAATTTGTGAAGACTAAAATCACTTATGAGTGAATTGATGCATATCAAATGTATAAGAAGCAAAGTAACTTATAAGTGAGTTTTTGCATTTAAGATTCGTGAAAAATTAAGTAACTTATCAGTGAGTTATTGCATGTCAAACTTATGAAAAAAGTAAATTATAAGCATTAGCGTCCCCTAGTGGTCAGTAGTTGGTTTATGGACTTACAACACTAAAATCCAGGGTTCGAGTACTAGTGGTGTACAGATGTGTGTAGCTTCGCGATAAAATAAACAAACGTAATATGAACATTAGATTCCGAACCGTTATATGACACCTAATATTAAAAAGTTTTTGAAACAACTATCTTTCAATTTTTAAAATAGCAAGTACGGTGTAAAGTAAAAACCTAAACAAGACGGTTACAATTTTTGCAATACAGAGTCAAGTTATTTGATTAGTTACTAGTTTTCACCATGCAGTATTGTGTGTTCCTATTATGATTAAAATTATATAATTTCTTTACATGATAACTGAGTACATTCAAAAGGAATCTGCCCCAAACTATTCTCATAATTATTATCGTTACTTTATGACAAGCGCTTTGTACGTATGATAGGAACATTTTCTTCGGTGAAATCCACGAAGCAGAAGAGGTCATTATTTTCTGTAACAGTTCAATCTTACAAAACTAAGATGATTCAAGATACAATTTACACAAGAAACTGCCCTTTGTTTATTATGATTATTCCGAATTTACTGATGTTTATTCCTAAAAATTCAAAAATAAAAAAGCTTCACATATCTATTGATACATTTTATTTCTAAGCCATAATTTAGGTTGGACTATTTAACTAGCTTTGTTGAATTTCGTGCCAAGTTATACGAGAGCTATCTGCATTAGCCGTTCTTAATTTTGAAGAGATAGACCGGAGAGAAGGTAGTGTTACGTCTCCGTTTGTTAATTAACTTTCCGTAACTTCGTTCCGATGAAACTTTAGCGACACAAGTCCTTACTTAATAAAACTGGTTTATTCTTTCCGAATATAACTTTACGATACACTTAATTTCAACAATCGCGCTAAAACAAACGCTCTAACAACAATACGTCTCTCTCTGACTGCAGATCAATTACTCACTGTCTACACACAAATTATTATCCCGTCACGTTGTAACCCTCTTTTATATACCAGACTACCCTATATCTAGTAAATGCTAGAGCATTCGCCA